AACTTGAATGGGCCTTAGACTCAGGAGCAGGTGGGAACCTCAGCTCTTTGAAAGCTTTTGCCAAGCAAGGGGTTCCGGACGATGTACTCCGTGAGTTTGAAACTTGTTCACTTTTTCCCTTGACCTTTGATACAGGGGGTGGCCCAAAGGACACCAACCATACAATCGGTCTGAGTGGATCCAAGTTTGGGGACGAGTTGGTTTACTTGTTGAAGTCGTGTCTGTTCGTTAAGAGTCTTGGAAAAATGGTAGAGAAAGGGTTTGGTTTCCTTTGGGGAAAAGACTATGAACCGACTTTAGTTCCTCCTGGAGAACATGTTGCTGTGAAGTGCAATGTAGAGAAGTGTTTCGTTGCCAGTCGGGTGGACCATGGGGTTCCTATTTCTGTTGACGAAGTACTTGATGTGGAAACCTTCGATGTGGATGTGTTCTAAGCTTGGCTTGTCTACAAACATCACAAGAAGATAAAGCTGGTTGATGGGTCAGAAAATGATCTACAGGGATCTTCTTCTTGTTGGCCTCCCTTGGTTCCTTGGGAACCTCTTCCTTGTAGTCCTCTGAGGCAACACTTTCCTCCACACCGGCGCCATGGGCAGAGGGGTCAACCGCCGAGGCAATCAGTTCTGGGGAACGCGGAGACCATACCAATTCAGGTGGAGTTTCTACAACAAAGTCAACCATTTCACTTTCGTCTGCGCCGGTTTCACCTGCTGGACCCGCGTCGGACGCTGAAGACACAGTCGTGGAGGCCCCAAGGGCTTTCCTTCAAAGACACGCTTGCGACCATTGAGAGGCGGTTGAAGGTGGTTCAAAGGGTGAAGCATGTGCCTTGGTTTGTGTTGATGTCTACTCCAGCTTGTTCTTTGCCTACCCAGCCATTGACAAGTCGCAAGAGTGAGTCGAAGCGGCTTTGCGACACTTCTGTAGGGAGGCACAACCGGTCGTAGCCTCAGATCGGTATCCAAGCATCCTGGCGGCGCGGCAATTAGGGATCTTGGCATGCATCCTGAACCGTCACCGCCTGGCGACAAGTTCCACAATCCAGATGCGGAATGAGCAATCAAGGGAATCCGCCAAGGAACCAGATCGTTATTGCTTCAAAGTGGCTTGGACGTGAAGCATTGGCCCAAGGCTATGACACGTTTCTGTTTCCAATGCAGTGCGACTACTCCTCCTAACATCCAAGATGAAAGTTTGAGAGGGAGAGTGCGTCGAGCGCAGCAAGAAGACGAGGAAGATTCCCTCAAATTGGAATGGGACTTACCCTGTGAAGGTAGAATGTTTCCAGGATGTAGCGGTTGTAGGCTAGGAACCTATTCGCGCACATCAGAATGTCGGACGTCGTCTTTTGAACGAGGATGAACCGCTGCCTCCCAAGGAAGTAGAAGCTTCCCAAGAGGACAGCTCGCCGAGTGAAGGGTTTCTTAGGTTGTTTAAAGGAGATGAGTTTGACAACCCCGCTTGGAGAGGATGTTCTTGAGTGCCCTCCGGCTGGCGACAGTGATCTGGAGTCCACGTTTTCGTATTCGCCTTCCATCGCCCCAGAGGCTTCTGCTCCGCTTGACGAACTGGGTGAGTTGGTGAGTGGCATGGTCGGAACAACCAAAAGGAAGGAAAAACTAGGATTGTTTGTTGAGTTCTGTTGCCAAGATGAAAGCGCATGTTGCAGAGTTGCCCGCCATCTAGGTATCCCTTACCTAGGCATCACGAAAGACTCCTCGAATGTTGAGGACCCGCAACAGTTGGAACAGTTGCTGCTTTGGTTACAAGATAAGATTCAGGATGACCGAGGGCCTGTCCATTTATGGGGATCCTTACCTTGTACTAAATGGTCTCCTTGGCAACGGATGGCCATTCACAGGTATGGTGAAGTATATGCCCAGGACCTTTTGGAAGCTAGGCAACATTCTTTGGGGCTCGTTGAAAAGTACAAGGAAGTTGCAGACATCGTGTTGTGTTCTCGAAGGGGCTCCGCTTCCTTCGAGTGGTCTCGTGATTCCGAAGGGTGGAAAGAAGAGGTGGTCCAACAAATGATTCACGCCCTTAACATGCAACTAGTGAATGTTGACGGATGTGCTTTCCACTTGGTAATAGACGGCAGACGACCACTGAGGCCTTGGACAAATCCAAACGACCTCTGACAGAATGTGGGGGGGTATGGCATCCAAAACATGTTCACACGCAAAAGATCACAAACATGATGACCTCGAAGGTTCCATCACTGCCAAATCTGGGATATACAATGTAGAGATGGCCGCTGCCATTTTGACTTTGTTGTTTCCAGGGGTTATTGTTGATCGTGTTCCTGCTATGCCGCTTCAGCCCTTTAAGCAACACGCTCACCGCGACAAGAAGAGTTTGTTCTGATCCCACCCTTGCCAATATTCGGAACCATTCACAAGCTGCTAACTCGCAAACAAATGCTCTCTGATCCGGAGTGAGGAAAAGGGGGGCTTGGGATGATGATGATGTAATGGAAAAGAATGATCGATTGGAGGCAGCCAAGGCTGCTGGCCAAGTCATGCATATCGCCGAACTCATGAGTATCGCAAGCATCAAATGGGAAACACCAGCCAAGAGGCGACGTAAGGGACGTATAGTGTTTCGCGGCGATGATGTTCGCGACGCCGCCGTCTTTGGCCAACTCTACTCGCTACCTACCAACGTGCAAGCCATAAACATAGCATTATTGTATGGTATGCTCCGCAGATTGCGTAAAAGCTTATTTGCAGGCATCTTTGTTGAACCAGGATGCAGAAAAGACGTGTGTTTGTCTTCCTGAGGAGCTCTGGCTTCCGCATTGGCGGGGGGTGTGCAAGAAGCCTTGTGTACCACTGCTCAAGGCCCTCTACGGCCCATCCGCAGGCTGCTGCATTTTGGGACACGCACCTGCAGCAGGTTCTTTTGGGCGACATGAAACTTGAAGCGCTTGACAGCCATCCCAGTGTTTACATTTGCCCCCGCACCAAGTTGTTGGTAGTGGTGTACGTGGACGATATCCTGGTTGCAGGACCCACGTGCCATCAGCAAGAGTTTTGGGATACCCTGAAAACCCTGGTGGAGTTAGAGGATGTCAAACAATTTCTTCATTATTCATAGGCAGGGCCAGTCACTTTGAGCCTGGTAAGTGCATACTTGATATGGTATAGACAATGCGGACCAAGCCATTCAACTTTACATTGAGGTCGTAGGACAGGAAGTCAAGTTCCGAAAAGTGTCAACACCCCACGTATCTGACGGGATTTTAACTGATCTCGACTATCAGACGGATGGTCAGGTTGGTCACCAGGCTAGTAGTGTTCTCATGAAGCTACTCTGGTTAACAAGACTTGCGTGGCCAGACTTGTCGTTCGCCGTGAGCTCCTTGGCTTCTCAGGTCACTCGCTGGAGTAGGAATTCAGACAAGCAACTGTTCAGGCTGGTCTCTTACTTATGGAGTACTAGAAACTTCTGTCTAGCCTTTTCGGTGATGGACTCCCCAAGCAACTGTTTTCTCAACATGTACGCTGACGCAGACTTGGGCTCATGCCCACTCACAGCCAAATCAACTTCAGGCCTTTTCATATTATTTGAAGGTCCAATGGTATGTTTGTTCCAATAACATAGTATGCTCGGAGGCAATCTCATGTTGCTCGATCTACCGCTGATGCGGAGTTGAACTCATTGGCTGAGGGGTTGCGCGAAAAACTGCTGCCTGCCTACATGCTCTTAGAAAAGGTTCTGTCGAAGAATGTGCCTAAGGTGAGAGCATTGGAGGACAACTCCGCGGTAATCCAGGCGATACGTAAAGGATACTCAGTAAAACTGAGACATCTGGCACGCACCCCAAAGTTGTCCCTTGCCGCGTTAAACCAGGCCTTCACTTCGTGGTGTGCCTTGGAACATTGCCCAACGCATCTCCAGCTAGGGGTTGCATTCACTAAGGTCTTATCCCACATGAAGTGCAACCCGCAATCACTTGGACTAAGGCATTGGATGACTTCCAAAGCGGTGTAGCAAAAGGCAAATAGGTCTCCAGCGTTTGACGCGGGTCCTACCTAAGGAAGTGCAGCCTTTTGAGCCGCTGCTAGCTGCTTTTGGCTTCGCCTCTGCACCGCGAGTCATCTGCGCTTGCACGGGTCTCACATGAAGCGTTCCTGAGAGCAGCCCGAATTTGTTGTTTTACCCTGCCATAAAGTTCACTGCCTCGAAAAGTAGGAGCCGATTCCGCGGCCTCTACGAACGCCTGGCTGGGGGTTGTTCATTGAGGTCCAAAGCTGGCGGGGCTCCATATTTCGAGCGGGGGGACGTTGTTTCACAGGAGATATGGCAGGTGTATATATATGCAGATGCTGATCACAAAGTCTTTCGTGCTAATATGCATGAAACTGAACGGCTTTGGCTCAAGACAAAAGAGCCGCTAAACGCAGGTTAAATGAATGTTCGGAGTTTAAGGTTTGTTGAGTCTTTGCGTGGTAGCGGTGGTGCTACCGCTTTGTAGGCGCAGCAGTAGAGTTCTTGGAGCCGCGTGGGGTAGGGCTGGATGAGGTTTGGAAATCGAACAGTAAAGATTCTGGCGACAAGTAGTGGAAGTACAGTAGAATTATTGAGAACCTCATGTATAGGTTGTTTTGTGCTCGCTAGGTTGGAGGCTGTTGTCGGTGGTGCAAGGTCATGTTTCTGAAAACATGCGATTGCATTAGTCAACATAGGTGTACTTCCGATAATGCCAAGTGGCATGCGTAACATGTTTGCCATTGAAGTGTAATTCATGTTTCTGCTTGTGCATGCTACGGCTGTTGAAAGCAAACAGTCGAACAATGTCGAACAAACCACCCATGAAAATCTGCAACCCATGAAAAGTCATTCCTTCCGGCTGGAATTCCCAATCGGGGGATATTGATGGTAACAGAGCTGGGGCACATACTTTTTCAAAAGGGCAAACTTGAGGAGTTCAAGGGTTTATGACACAGTTTAGGGTTTGACGCGATATGTTTGCCATTCCCATGCGCTGATCTGGGAGGCTCAATCCATCTCCAACCGCACGTGGTAGTTCCTCGTTCTTGTAGTTTGGAATCCCTTCTTTCGCCATGGCAACGCCTGAGTCATCCGACTGGATCATGATTGAGAAAGAGGTGGACGAAACCGGTCATGGGCAGACTGGATTGGCTGTTGATGCAGAGCTGGATTTGTGTTTCATTTGTGATTGCACGGGCTCAATGGGACAGTACATCAAGGCAGCTCAAGAGAACATTCAATCCATTGTGACGAAGATTTCGGGCCATGGAGAAAAGGTGCGCTTCGGCTTGATCAGCTACAGAGATCACCCGCCCCAAGATAGCACCTTCGTTACTCAGTGTCATCCATTCACCGAGAATCTGGAAACAATGCGGCAATATGTAGACACAATGAGGGCCAACGGTGGAGGGGATGGGCCCGAAGCTGTGACAGCTGCTCTTTTTGAAGCCTTATCATTGCCGTGGAGACCGAATGCCACAAAGATTTGTGTATTGATCGCAGATGCACCGCCCCATGGCTTGGAACCCAGCGGAGATGGATTTCCCAATGGAGATCCTGATGGGCGAGATCCTTTGGAGATTTTGCGGGACATGGCCACGCTTGGCATCACGGTCTACACAGTAGGCTGTGAGCCCGCACTCGGAGCTTACCATTTTGCTCGAGATTTCCTTTGCAATGTGGCCGAAGTGACGGGTGGGCAAGCCGTTGCGTTAAGTTCAGCTGCCATGCTTGCAGATGTGATCATCAATGGAAGTGCTGAAGAGATCGGACTTTCAAAACTTCAACGACAAGTTGAAGAGGAAGTCTTGAAAGTGCAAACTGAAGCCAGGAGTGCGGGTCACAACATCAGCACTGAAGCATCCGTGACGGCAGCTGTGGCTAGTTTGCAAGCTCGCGGTCTTACCTCGGTGCAAATGGAAACCGATGGGCGAATGACAAATGCCACCAAGCCTTGCTGGGGCAATGTCTTGGAGAAGAAGTCCCTGGCCAAAGTGAAAGAAGAACTCGGCAAATTTGCCGCCACAGTGCCTTCAGCAGAAATCTTACCCTCTTGCTTGAGGTCAGCGCGACTACCAGGCCCAAGCATGCCCAGAGGCTATGCTGGTGCCTCTGCGCCTCCTGTGCTTAGTGGGCTTAGTGCACCTACGTCCGCGAAGACCAACTTGTTGAAGACGGATCTCATCAGTGGAGAGCAGGTGAGCCGCATTGTGCAACGGGCGCAGTGCCAGAATCGCTTGCTGTGATCCATGCCGTGCAAATTTGTGAAGTTCTATTTAGTTGGCACCAAGGCTCTTTGGTTGCTCATGCTTGGGCTGAATTGCAGACATGGCCCTATGAGGTGTACAGATACCGAGAGTATACATTGGTGACAACATGTGATCGGAAATGCGTGCAAGAAGCTAGTAGAAACAAGAAACTATTAGAAACAAGTGCCTTACCAGTAGTAACAAGAAGCTAGTAGGAACAAGTGCCATGCTACTAGTAACAGATGCCTCGCTACTAGTAACAAGAAGCTAGTAGAAACATAAATTAGTGATCCACGTGATCGGAAAGGCGTGCCCCGATGGCCTGGTCGTGTGTTTAGCGATGGCCTTTGCTCCTAGTAGCGATGACCTTTGATCCTAGTAGCTTCTATTTGCATATGTAGGGTGAACATTGAAGAATTTAGTTTCTTCAAGTTTCTTCCCCCACATGCCACATGGTACTGCTTATCCCAACTGTTCCTCTTTGATCTGTTTTGGCTTGCAGTGCCATTTCAGCCTCGTGTCATACCTCGTTGCGATGACGTGCCCTGAGCCTTTGGGAAGGCTGCGTATCACTGCATTCTTTCATGCTGCACATTTCAAACTGCAAAGTAAACTGAAACTAATTTGGTTCCATGTAGCTATTTGCTACTAGTAGCAAGGACGCTAGGTGGAGGCCATCGCTACTAGGGTGGAGGCTTTGCTACTGTAATTACTAGTCATGCACTTGTTCTAGTAGCGATGCACTTGTTACTAGTTCCGGCCTCAAACCTTTTAACCAACCGGTGCGTCGAATGATCCTCAGAATATTCAGGCACGGATCTCAAAGATGGACCCCATTTGAGTAACCAGCGAATTCGGGTGCCGTTCCCGCCCCGGCGCAGTCATGAAATACTAGTAACAAGTGCGTCGCTACTAATTAGGAGTAAAGCCACATCGAATTATCTCGCATTTGTTGAGTCGCAACGGAGGTAGCCTGGTAGAGCAAAGCGCACGGGAAGAGGCTCTTGCGACGGCCGCGTTTGGGCAGCAGCTTGTAGCAATGGGCTCCTGTGGGAACCAAAAACCGATCATGACGATTTACGTCCGTCTGACTCGGTGCACGGAAAAATTGAACGTAAATTCATGCAAAAAGATATGTGCTATTTATTAGGGATGGCCTTCAACCCAATAGCTTAAGGAACCTAATTTACTATTCACTTTAATGCGACATCGAGTTTTCCACCCAACTGCGCCATGCAATTCACACCAAATCTCCACCCACCCATCATCCCATTGTTATCCCATGCATCCCGCCGACAGCAGCCCAAACACCCCATCACAAAAGAACTATCCGATTGGGCCGACTGATGTTACATACCCACTGACATGGAATAAGTGCATCAGGCCGGAGGCAGAAAATAGAAGCTTCTAGGAGCAAAGGGCATCGCTACTAGGAGCAAGGACGCAACTAGGGGCTCCTGGCATCCCTACTAGTAGCGATCGGACGCTACTAGGAGCAAAGGGCATTCAGGAGAACCCCAGGCATACAGCACCCTGGTGACAAAAAGTTCAGCTTCAAAGAGCACAAACCGAGGCACGTTGCGGCCCTCTGTGGAGAAGTCATCTAGACCGGTCAAAACGGTGTCCTCTAGAAGCTTGCCCTGAAACTTGTAGAGGCCATTGCTATTAGGTTGGCACTTTGGAACGCTACTAGGGGCTCCTGGCATCGCTGCTAGGCGCATTCTTCCTAGTAACAAAAAGGCTAGTAAGTTGGAGGCCATCGCTATTAGCACTTTGGAACGCTTATCCGATTGCACCAAGATTTATTTAGCGTTGAGTGATGGCATTGCGATCATTTTGGTTGTTCCGGACACAAGTTGGAACACACCACAGGCATTGCAGAAACTTGATGTCTTGTGACACTGCTATAAAGTGACTGGCTTTTGGCCTTCTTTGTGTCGGCAATCATGGGAACGCCTCAAACAATCGTCAAGTGCACATGCGCATTGCCATTATGCTTGGCTTCATGGTTGCAGTTCAATTTGGAACATGGATAGGAGACATTGCTATTAAGTTGGAGGCCATTGCTATTAGGTCTCCAGGCCATCGCTATTAGATTGGAGGCCATCGCTTGTAGGTTGGAAGTCACCGCTGTTTGGTTGGAGGCTATCCATTGGATTTGTAGGAGAAGGTTTCTTAGGCCGAGGGTTTGGAGTCTTGGACTCCTTTCAACAAGAATGCGCATGAAAGCACTAAACAGAGCAAAATAAAGCAGCATGTTCATGCGCCAATTGTTTGTTTTGTTCGAGCAAGCCCAAAAACTAACCATTTTTCTTCAACGTCGACGTTTCTTGTGATTTTTCGGAGTGTTAACATGCATTTCCAGCCGGCAGTTTATGCAGGTATCGATGGCTCCAATCTGGAAGCTGAACTTCTGAAAGTATTGTGCTTCTGGCCGGCAAGTGTGGAATCCGAATCGTTTTGCACGTTTGTAACTTACTAGGAGCAAGGACGCTACTAGGGGCCCCTGGGGAAGTTGATGGATCTTGAGGAGAGGGCGATTCTTTGAGAGCATCACGACTGCGTCCATAAGTCACAAACACAGCATTGGACACAGCTATCAAATGTCATGGCACAGTTGTTTGTTGTTTCTGACCTGATCCTGGCCTGTTGATTTGGATCACACTCTCCAGACGAAACCTACTCACTGAAAAAGTGGCTTGGGGAAGTGCTTGGGGAGCTACAGATGGTGAGACGCATTGTAGGAGGGGTTCAAAACAATCAAGGCATGATTAGATTCATTGTGATTCAGTGGCGATTCTGTTTCGCTATTTGGTTGGAGGCCATCGCTATCTGGTTGGAGGCCATTGCTACTAGCAACTCAAAAGAACTTTGTTTTTTCTTGAACATTTAGTTCAATGAGTTTGGAGGCCATCGCTATCAGGTTGGAAATGGGATGCGCGAGCCGAATGAGGTCATGTAGAAGCTAAAAACACTGTAGCGATGGCCTTCAACCTGATAGCGTCCCGTAGAGAGCTGTCGGATCGGCTGAGGTGGACAGCGTCACATCGCATTCGAAGAAGGCAGTCGAGAGTCGACAGTGACGGAGTTGTGCCAAGTCTCGGTGACCAATCACAGTAACAAACTTGTTACTACTAGTAACAAGTGCCACGCTAGTAGTAACAAGTGCCTTACTACTAGTAACAAGTGCCACGCTAGTAGTAACAAGTGCCTTACTACTAGTAACAATGTTTGCTATTAGAAACAATAGGCTAATAGCTTCTTGTTACTACTAGTAAGGCACTTGTTACTACTAGCGATGCACTTGTTTCTAATAGCTTCTTGTTCCTAGTAGCTTCTTGCTATAGTAAGAATGCTCCGTTCGTAGCGGTGCCAGGAGCCCCTAGTAGCGTCCTTGCTCCTAGCAGTAAGGCCAGGAGCCCCTAGTAGCTTCTTGTTATTAGTAGCTTCGTGTAGCTCAGCTCCTTTGAGAGCTCCTTTCATACAGACTTTGTGATGCACATTGAGGGTGGTGCCTTTCAGAGGGCACAGGAAATTCAGCATTCCCTGAAGATCAGACGCCTCTCGTACATCTGTTACATTCCATTTGCTCATGTCGCGCTGGTCAAACAGCGGGTTGGCTCAGGGCGAACCAAGCGCACAGAGTGGATCAACGTCGACTTGAAATCACTTCCAGTGCAAAGCCGCCGGAGTGTCTAGAGTGTTCACAAATGCTACTTGCATGGTAAGACAATTTCGATAGCTGTCCCACCCTAGCCATGGCGGATGATGATGATGTTCCACAAGGAGTCATCGTTTCTTGGCACAGTTGGGCACATAACATTGCCAAGGGGCTTTGGCCGATTTCCTTTCAGAAGGTCACATGAATGTTCAGCTCGATTCGATTGTTCGGTTGCTTCATGAGGTTTGTGTACGCTTGCGGCCTATGTTTGTCAAGAGGCGTCGCGTGGGAGGGCGACACATGTTGGTGGTTCCTTTGCAACGAACGGAGCAAAGGGCATCGCTACGAACGGAGCAAGGACGCTACTAGGGGCGCTCCTGGCCTTACTAAGAGCAACAAGCGAGTAGGTTGGAGGCCATTGCTATTCAGTTAGTTTGGGAGGCGTCGTGTTTGGGACGGAAGGATCAGAGACGCCTCGGTTAGATCGGTAGACTCTGCAGGCCAGATGGCACACCAGGGCGCGAAGCGACATGTCAACGAGCTCCTTGGCTTTCCAAAGCGAAACTATCTACACCTTGTGACACAGGGAACCCCCTAGTAGCTTCTTCTTACTAGTAGTAAGAATGCTCCTAGTAGAGATGCCCTTCGTTCCTAGTTGCGTCCTTGCTCCTAGTAGTAAGGCCAGGAGCCCCTAGTAGCTTCTTGTTACTTGTAGCGATGGCCTGCAACCTACTTGATGGCCTCCACCTAATAGCGTGCTTGCTACTAGTAGCGTCCAATCTACACCGGTTTGGTGAGAACTTTCTACGTACCGTGACGTGCGCTCGTAGACGTCCGAGAATCATCCTTGTTTCTGGCAAGTTGTATTGGCCAAAGGCCCTTCGAAGCTATTTATGGCCTCACTGATCATGTCCTTGTGCTGAACTGCGACGCTGAGGTAGTTGAGATGGAGGGCAAGGCGGAAAAAGGTGTCGGCTGTGCAGTGACGAAGATCTATGATCCCAACGCGTCTTGGAAGAACCGGATCACCGATGGCGGTCGCCGCGGCGGCGTCTTCTCTCGGGGAAGACGTCTTTGCGATGTGAGGAAGTGCATGTGAATCAGTGATAACATTGTTGTGTGAGGTGGTCAGGTCATGTGGTCATGTGATGATGTGTGCCGTGATGGCTGATGCTGTGATGTCGAGTTAAAGTGACTTCCTGTATTGCATGCTCCTAGTAGCTTCTTGTTACTAGTAGCTACTTGCTCCTAGTAGTACGGCCAGGAGCCCCTAGTAGCGTCCTTGCTCCTAGTGGCGACGCCAGGAGCCCCTAGTAGCTTCTTGTTACTGCACAGTCGCCAGTTCTTCCCGTTTTCAAACCGCTGGGACCGAGGCTCAGGCAGGTCTCGGTAAACATTCCCTATAAGGCTTTCTTTGTTCACTTGTGCGAAAGGAAAACCCGTTTTTTTAGCCAATCGCGAAAGGCCGGCAATGGGAGCCTTATAAAATGAACTTTGCTGGATGGCCTTCATATGTACCGATGAATTTATGCATGAGCCATCGTTAGGTTGGAGGCCATTGCCAAATGTTAAGTTTCCTGAAACATCGAACCACATCATTAGCGCGAGCTATCGTCCTGTCGGTAGCTACTTGGTACTAGCTACGGCCTACGAAGACATCCTAAGAGCGATGGCTTTTAGTAGCGATGCACCTGTTACTAATAGCTTCTTGTTACTACTAGTAAGGCACCTGTTACTACTAGCGATGCACTTGTTCCTATATCTTAAAAGACATTACAGTTCTTGGACATTCGGCTCCGAAGCTGAGGACATGAGCGCAGAGCCTCGTTCCTATGCCTTTGATCGCAGTTGGTGGAGTTGCGATGGATCGAAAGATGATCCGGAGCGACCAGGCTTCAGCCGCTTAGCAGAACCGAGCTCCACTAGTAGCTCCACTTAGCTCCGAAGAAAGCGTTGCCCTAAGTATGAGTCCCGGACTCTCACATGAGTTAAGGCAGTTAAGCTCAGATCGATGTATGGATGAGTCTTGAACTTTTGACACATCAGTCACTTTCACAACCTGGGCAGTCTTGACCCGACAATCACACTAGAATGGCGATCAAGTGCAAGTTTAGACTGGTTGCAATCGATGTGGCTTTAGCGAGGAGGTTCCAATACTTATTAATGGGCGCGATGGCCTCCAACCTAATATCAAGGAGGTTTCAATACAGCCGTCCTGTTGTTGTCCAGCTGTGTAGGTTCAGGTTGGAGGCCATCGCTAGTAGGTTCCTTGGCGACTAGGAGCAAGAGGACGCTACTAGGTGCAAAGAGCATCGCTACTAGGAACCGGGCATCGCTACTAGGAGCAGGGACGCTACTAGGTTTTGTCGTCGTGTCTCTTCACCGTTGACCTGGCTTGTGGTGCCATGAGCTGCCTCAGGAATACCTGATGGCCCCGACTCAAAATATGATCCTCGGCTGACACCTACCACGGACAATTGGGCCTGGTTAGGCATAGACCCGCATAAATGACTGCAACTTTGTGGCAAGTCTTCACGTCCCACCAAGCGCAACAAGTATCTTGTTGCATCTAATAGCGATGACCTCCACCTAGTAGCGTCCTTGCTACTAATAGCGATGCCCTTTGCTACTAGTAGCTTCTTGTTACTACTAGTAAGGCACTTGTTACTACTAGCGATGCACTTGCTGCTAGTAGCGTCCTTGCTACTAGTAGCGATGCCCTTTGCTACTAGTAGCTTCTTGTTACTACTAGTAAGGCACTTGTTACTACTAGCGATGCACTTGCTGCTAGTAGCGTCCTTGCTACTAGTAGCGATGCCCTTTGCTACTAGTAGCTTCTTGCTTCAAGTCTTCATGTCCTGGACCTGTGGATTGACAGAGCAAGAACCAAGGTTGATCAGGATATGGTGTGGCAAGATGTGGGCGAGATTGTCATGAAAAACGCCCTTAAAGGATACAATTGCACTGTGTTTCTCTGCTGAAGGTGATATTTTGTGAGGTTTGTTTTCCTTCTTGTGAGACTGATTCTGTAAGAGACTGGAAAGCTATGAAAGAGGATTCCTTGGTACTCATATGCACAAAAAGTAAATTTTATATTATATAATATATACATAACTCGTCCATGTTCTTGACGGTTTCATTGTTTAGGTTTTGTGCCTTCACTGGCCCACCACGAGGTTTGCCTATGGACAATCTGGTTGTGGCAAATCCTACTCGGTAGTTGGTGATTCACCTAACTGGGGCATCATTCCCAGGACCGTGAAGGCCTGACTTGCACAGTGAGGACGCTACTAGTAGCAAAGGGCATCGCTACTAGGAGCAAGTGCCTTACTAGTAGTAACAATAAGCATTTAATTAGAATTGTAATTGCTAGCTTCTTGTAACTACCAGTAAGGCACTTGTTACTACTGGCGATGCACTTGTGATTACTAGCAAACAAAATCCTACTAGGACCTTTTCGCGCGCGCGCGCGCGGGGGGGGGTACTAGGAGCAAGGACGCTAGTAGGAAGGACGCTAATAGAGGCGCTCCGGGCCTTACCACTAGGAGGCCATCGCTATTGGGTGCAAAGCTACAAGTTTCAACGAGCGCTCAGGGTCTCCACATGTGCCGTCGCCCTTTCCCATCTTTCAGGCACTGTTTGATGTGGTTGATGGGAACACTGATCCTGACGTGCGCTACAATGTCACTTTGCTGCATTCCGAACGTCTAAGCGTCACGAAGCGTCTAAGCCTTGGGAAGGACGAACGATGCAAACCTGCGTGTTTCGCAGGTGGAGATAGCTATGGTGGAGGTCTACATGGACGAAGTCTACGATTTGCTTGAGCCTCGCAAGAAGGAGCGCCAGAAGCTCAACGTTTTCAACAACAAGGGCGAGGTCTTCGACTCAGTCGACGATCGACTCCTGATACAAGTTTCCCAAAGGAATAGTACGTCGTGAGCTATCCTGCGTCCAGTTTCTAGGCAACCAGTAGCTCGTAGCCTAGCGAACTTCTCCCTTAACTACGTAGGCGTCTACTTTTATAAATTGGAAATTCAGGCTTATGCTGTAAGAGCAAAAGCCATCGCTAGTAGCTTGGAGGCCGTTGCTATTAGGTGAAAGGCAGAAAGAAAAGAATAGGCAAATTTGAACACAAAGCGCACTTGGCGAACTTGAGGCAAAGTTCACCTGGATTGCAGTTGCATGTAAGACGCATGAAGACGATGAGGAAGAAAGGAATTTGGTAGCAGTGCACTTGTTAATTAGGAATATTTAGGAATAATGGCTTTTGTTACTAGTAGCGATGCCCTTGTTCCTAGTAGCATCTTGTTACTAGTAGTAAGGCCAGGAGCTACTACTAGCGTCCTTGCTCCAAGTAGCGATGCCCCTGCTTCTAGTAGTAGCGAGCAAAAGCGCACTTGGTGAACTTGACGACGTAAGTCGGTGACTTCTGCTCAGTTTTTCGTAGAAGAGGCTTTTTGGGGACTGGGTGCGAGTGGGTGCGCCGGGTGCTGGTGCTGCTGCGGGGCACAAATATATCTTGCTCCTGAGTTGCCAGTAGCTTTGCTATCTCGCTGGCCTAATCCGAAGGCCACGCCGCTGCACCTACTTTGAGGTCTTCATCTACGACCCCAAAGACCGAAAGAATATGGACAAGATTTGGAGAGCTTGCAGCAATCACGACAAGGCCGGTGCAATGATGTATTCAGTTCTTCTTGAACACGGGAACGTTTGGGAGTCAAAAGCATGTTGCAGCATTTTGCAAATCTGAACGTGTCTTTGGCTTTGCTATGCTTTGCTTCTTCCGTAGAATTGTTCACAATGTGACCTTAGAATTCCACCGCTTGAAGCCGCTTGGCCATGGCGGCTGTGCCAAGCACTCGTGACGAGACTCGGCTGGGCTGCACCATCTCCAGATGGCAATTCTGCTTACGGCTGCACCGCCTCCAATCTAACAGCTTTTTCTTCAAATATAAAGTTAAAACATGCATTCAACCGTGATTGATAGGAATGGCCTGCAACCTACGAGCAATGGCCTCCACATAGTAGCTTCTAGTTGCTAGAAAGATTCAAAGACATACTAGTAGCTTTACTGTTACTAGATGTTACTAGTATCGCTGGCCTTCAACCTACTAGCAAACTAAGACCTTAGACCTTTCTTTCTTGTTTTTGGCCTCCAAAACTAGTGATGGCCTCCAGGCTGCACCCCAACCTGGTGGCCTTCAATCACACAATCAGCACATGTGGAAAGACGTCCGAATGGCGGGTGGCTTTGGCTTTACTGGGTAAGCTGAAAAGGGAAAGGACGGAAGCGGGAAGGAGTGCCGACATCTATTCCTATAACAGTGCCATCGGTGCATGTGAGAAAGGCCACGTTTGGGAAACGGCTTTGTCTTTGACCATGGAATGCATGGAGGGCCGCATGAAGTGCATGGGCTGTCTGGAACGACGTATGTCCTTCGATGTGGTTACGCTGAACACGGCCTTGTCCTCCTGTGGAAAGAGCGAGAAATGGCCACAGGCCTTCCAGGCCTTTCACTTGGCCAAGGACGGAGAGCGAGAGCGAAAGAGCGAGAGAGCGATGGCCTCCACCTAATAACTAACTAATAGCTTCTTGTTACTACTAGTAACATAGTGTACCCCACTGGAACTGGAAGTGGAACTGGAACTGGAACTCCCCTCCCTCCTCCTCAGTCTCCTGTGTTGGACGACGTGGGACTGGAACTGGAACTGGAACTGTTCCACCCGCCCGGGGCACACTCTGACTAGTAAGGCACTTGTTACTAGAAGCGATGCACTTGTTCCTAATAGCTTCTTTTTTCTAATAGCTTCTTGTTACTACTAGTAAGGCCAGGGGCCCCTAGTAGCTTCTTGCTCCTAGTAGTAAGGCACTTGTTTCTAATAGCAAACATTGTTACTACTAATAAGGCACTTGTTACTAGTAGCGATGCTATTGTTACTAATAGCTTCTGATTGTTGATGATTGTTGATACAGTGTTGAAAAGAAAAGCAGAAAAAGACAAGAAGACAAGAACTTGTAAGGAGCAAGGACGCTACTAGGGGCTCCTGGCATCGCTACTAGGAACATTCTTACTAGTAACAAGAAGCTATTAGAAACAAGAAGCTACTAGGAATAAGTGCATCGCTTCTAGGATCAAGTGCCTTACTAGCAGTAACAAGAAGCTACTAGGGGCTCCAACACACGAACATGACTCGTCCGCCGGCACCAATGGACGGAGTTGTTATTTTCTTCGTGCATAACCGGATGACAGCGAGCCACAAAACGGCCTGCAGTGTTATCTTAGCCACACTGGACAAACTCATAGGGGCAGTCCTCCATTCCGGCTTCCTAGTGCAAATTATTCTTCCAGCTCCCATCGCCATCGGCATAAAGAGAACAACAAAAGATATCAAAAGACGCAAACAATGAAAAAGCGAGTACACAGTATCCTTAATGTTATTCTAAAATGTGGATCCTATTTTGATTCGTTTGACGAGGTGTTGGACCTTTGCGATGTCTTCACTTTGAACAGTGCCTTGAGTGCTTCTGAAAGAGTCACCCTTTGGCGGAGCGCGTTGAGCACACTCGCAGCGACAGCGACGAGCCAATCAACTCCCGAGATCTCCAAGAGGAGAGATGGCCTCCAACTTCCTAGGTCCTAGCTTCTTGCTCCTAGTAGCGATTGCCGAACAGGATAGCCTCCAACCTACTAGTGATGCCATCCAACCTGACAAGAATCGCCTCTAACCTGCGATGGCCACGGCCTCCATCCTAGGAGCGGCCAACTGAGCTGTCGTCCCGATGTGATCTCCTTCAACTCTTTGATCTCCGTGTGTGCTCGTGCCGATCAATGGAGACGAGCCAAGCAGTTCTTTGATTTTCAACAGGTGGGACAACGAAAGAGCAAAGAGAGCGCGAAGCGATGCGAAGCGCTAAGAAAACCGTTCTTGAACTTCAGTTACATAATTGCATTGTTTTACATTCCAGTTCAGTTTGCCATGAGAATTGTATTTGATGGCTGGAAACTATAGCAGGTTCTTACGTCATTTAGAGGCCCCGATCGCAACTCTTTGTGAACTCTGGAACGCCTCGAACCTGATGTTTATCACCCGCTGATGCCATCCTCGTTTCGTGCTAACAGTTGCTAAAGTCAAAGTTTGGTGAAAGGAAGCATGAATAAATAATGTCCATTAGTAGCCAATAGTCTACTACCCCATTCCTCTCAGGTTGGAGGCCATAGTAGGTTGGAGGCCATCGCTCCCTACCTAGTGGAGTCTACCAAGTGAGGAGAAGACGTCGATCAGTTTCAATGCCATGATCACAGCGTGCGATTGGAGTGGCCAGTGGCGACAGGCCTTACAGACCTTCACCGATGCCCGACACGCGACCGACACGGTCGTGAGGAACGTGAGAGGCCAAGGCCTCCAAACAGCGATGGCTTTGGTGCGATTTGCTCCGTTCGTAGCATCCTTTGCTCCTAGAAGGGATGCCCTTGTTACTAGTAGCTTCCTTGCTCCGTTCGTAGCGATGCCAGTAGCGAGCGTTCTTGCTCCTAGTAGTAAGGCCAGGAGCCCCTAGGCCCTAGTAGCTTCTTGTTACTAGTAGCGATGCCAGGAGCCCGTAATGGCTTCCACAGTGACCATTTCCACTGCGTTCGCGCTTCGGTGATGGACATCATCACTTACAACGCGGCCATTTCAGCGTGTGATGAGCATCTTCATGTGGCCCTGAAGCTCTTTCAGGAAATAGCATCCTTGATACTAGTAGCTTCTTGTTACTACTAGTAACAACTAAGTGCCTTACTACTACAAGAAGCCATTAGAATTAAGTTAAAATTAACATAAATTAACTAATAGCTTCTTGTTACTACTAGTAAGGCACTTGTTCCTAGTAGCGATGCACTTGTTCCTAGTAGCTTACTTGCTCTTCCAGGAACTTCAACAGAACTCCGTCGTTCCCAATGTGGTCACCTACTCCTCTGTCATCAGTGCCTGCGAACGGGGAGGGCAGTGGCAGTAGCCAGCCTGTGTCATCATCAAGCTTTTTCCCTACTCGCAGTGGCCTCCAACCTAGAAGCGTCCTTGCTCCTAATAGCGATGGCCTCCAACCTAGAAGCGGTGGCCTTCAACCTAGCGCCAACCCAGCGCTCTCCCTTTCTGCTTCTAGAGATGGCCCATGTATATGATACTGCGTCCTTGCTCCTAGAAGCGATGCCCTTGTTACTAGTAGCTCCTTGCTCCTAGTAGTACGGCCAGGAGCCCCTAGTAGCGTCCTTGCCCCTAGTAGTAATATGATACTGCTTTGCTATTAAAGTGTGGGGGGTCCCAGTGTGTCATTGTGTCGTCTCACTGTTTGACTGCTTGACGCTTTATAAACAAGGTAAACATATGTTAAGACTCCCTCTCACTGCCCTCTTTCTGTGGTCGATACTTCTTGCGTTTGCTGTGAGGCAAGCATTATGGCTGCTGTGGGTGATGCAACGCCACCGGCTGCAGCCAAACATCGTCAGCTACAGTGCAGCTATTAGTGCCTGTGAGAAAGCAGGCCGCTGGCAACTGGCAGTGCTTCTTTTGGCCCTCTGTGAAAACCAAAGAAACCGGCCAAACCTTATCACCTACAACACGGCGACCTGGCTTGACTAGCAGCGTAACAACTCGTGTCACATACTCAACTTCTTACCGATTGGGAGCGGCGTCCGATTTGTCTATCCTGGGCCGGCAACAGCCAAACAACGACTGTGTCACCTCCTGTTTCTTTGTGAACCCTTTGGTGTCCGGGATGTTCATACAGACACAGCCTTACAATCAGCAAGTCATCCTGGGGCTCTCTGGTTGACATGAAGATCATTATTTTCCTATATAGGTCATCGTGACATGATTAGGTTGGAGGCCATCGCTGACAATTGAGGTCATGACATGACAGCAATTTAGGTCATGAGTGCTTGCGAGAAGGGTTCCCAATGGATCCATGCCTTGGACATTTTAGTGTCCATTCGACGTTTGCGCTTCGATGTGGTCTCCTATGCTGCTGCCATGAGTGCCTGCGAGAAGGGCAATGCATGGCGCCAAGCTCTGGACTTACTGGACGACATGAAGAAACAGAGGCATGGGCATTACCACTAGTAGCTAGAAGCTACTAGTAACAAGTGCATCGCTTCTAGTAACAAGTGCCTTACTACTAGTAACAAGAAGCTACTAGGGGCTCCTGGCTTTACTACTAGTAGCTAGAAGCTAGTAACAAGTATGAACAAACATGAAGATGTTTCGTCCATATGCCCTTTCAGAATTTTCACATGCCTTTTAAGGCCATCGTCCTTTGTCCAGTGTTGGAGGTATTTGTTTGTTCAGTCCATACTGGTTGCAAACAATTGTTACTACTAGCTTCTTGCTCCTAGTAGTAAGGCACTTGTTACTACTAGCGTGGCACTTGTTACTACTAGCTTCTGGCAATCTGTGTCAATCACTTCTGCGTGATAGGCTAGAAGTGAACCTGATCGCTTTTTGTGCAGCTTTGAGTGCTGCTGTTGGCGGTGGTCAGTGGCAAAAAGCACTGAATTTAATGGACGAATCTTGTCTTTGCTACTAGTAGCTTCTTCTTATTACTAGCAATATTAGCAATAGCCTCCAACCTAGTAGCTTTTTGTTCCTACTTGCGATGGCCTCCACCTAATAGCGTCCTTTGCCACTGAGGACCAAAAGCACTCGCGTTTGCAGCTTGACGTCATTGCTTTTGGTGTCGCAGTGTCAGCCTGTGAGATGGGCGCCCGTTTCGCACGGAGCTTGAAGATCCTCTCAATTCTTCAAACGGACTCCGTGCGTTCGCTGCATGGCGCGTTGCAAAAGCGCGCTGTGTTGGGCGGTGTGGGCGGTCGCGGCGCGGCGTTCGGATCTAGACTTAGACCAAATGCTGATGCGATCCACCAAGCAAGAGACGCTACTAGGAGCTACTAGACTAGGGCATCGCTACTAGTGGCTCCTGGCCTTAAAACTAGCAAAGGACGCTACTAGTAACAAAGGGCATCGCTACTAGGAGCAAGGACGCTTAGGAGCTTTTTCTCAAGATAGGCAGGTTCGCTGCACATTCTCCAGGCCGAGTCCTTCAGAAAGATGGGCGATGCCAACCGTTCCATCCGTTGCTTGACGTAAGATGCGAGACACGCCATTCGCATCGCATTTGCTTGACATAAGCCGGCCGGCTTTTGGGCCAGTGGTCGGGAGAAGGAGATGCCCTTGTTACTAGTCGCTTCTAGCTACTAATAGCGATGGCCTCCACCCTAGTAGCTTGCAATTGTTGGGGTTCTTTGAGGATGTTTTCTTTCTGCGCTTGGAGGCATATCGATTGTTTCAACCCCACAGAGTACACTCTCCAGTCAGCTTTTGCCATTCCAACATGTGAAGGGGTCACTCCAACTTGTGCGCTGCAACGAGACAGGACGTTTACTGCTAGGAGCAAGGATGCTACTAGGAACAAGTGCATCGCTAGTAGTAACAAGTGCCTTACTAGTAGTAACAAGAAGCTAGTAGAAACAAGTGCCTTACTACTAGGAGCAAGGATGCTACTAGGGGCTCCTGGCCTTACTACTAGGAGCAAAGGACGCTACTCGTAACAAGAAGCTACTCATGACGAGGACACCGTAAAACCAACACTTCAGCTTCACCAGGCTGATTTTTGAAGCCCAATCCCCGGCAGACACCTAAAAAGAACTTTATTTATCTCAGTATTTGACCAAGTCTACCTCGGTGGACGCCCCATCACTCCATATGGCGTAGTATGATGGCATAGGTGTGTTTCCTAAATATCACATTTTCAGAGAAATCAATGCCAGAACCCCAAAATGAAAGAAAACTACAAAATGTGATCATCAGATATTCATTTGAGTACTTTGGCTTTGCTTGTGTTTGTGTTGCACATTTGTGTCGTGTTTCACGGGCTTGTTTGCATACAGTAGAATCAGTAGATACCTGGCGAAAAAGTTGCATTCTTTCGTTGCGCCTTTGCAGCATCAGCCAGTCCTGACTGACAGGAGTCATCATGACTCATTACCCTTTCTTGAAGACAGGCCGCTATTAGGTTGGAGGCCATCGCTATTAGGAGCAAGGACGCTACTAGGGGCTCCTGGCCTTACTACTAGGACCAACGGACGCTACTAGGAGCAAAGGGCATCGCTACTAGCAGCAAGGACGCTTCTAGGTTGGAGGCCATCGATACTACTTTCTTTTGGACGGGTTTTCCACCCACGACTGCTGAGGTGCCACAGGCATGAATCCCGAGTCCTCTCGTGGCCATACGCTCTTCATTCTCCGCTTCCGAAAGGAAGTTTCTTGCATGCAACCTAATAGCAATAGCACGGGCCTATGAGACTACTAGTAACAAGTGCCTCGCTAGTAGTAACAAGTGCCTTACTGGTAGTAACAATGTTTGCTATTAGATCTAAATTAATAGCAAACATTGTTACTACCAGTAAGGCACTTTTTTAAAATAGCAAACATTGTTATTACCACCTCAATGGCCTCCAACCTTTTGGCTCCGGACTTCGTGCTTTTCAGCTTTCGTCTAAACGACACATGTATTGTGAACGCATTACTGTTAGACTCTAGACCAGAGAGGGAGACAAACAAGAGAGAGAGAGAGTATTTTTGACTTTGTGTTGTGATGCTCTTCATTGCTATCACTAGATATCGCTAGTATGCTGCATTTGTTCGTTGCTGTCGCTCACCAAGCTGCTGAAGGTGCTAGATTAGTCTTCCTTACAAAAAACACCACTTGGAAACAACAGGAGTTGAACAGCTAGCAGGTTGGAGGCCATGACTAGCTTTCTGTAGGGATCCACGCTTGGAGCTGCGAGGTCAAACGTGGCGGTTGGGTTGAGGAATTTCGATCCAAGCTCTGCCTCGTGGACCTCGCCGGTAGTGAGCGAGCTCATGACACAGGCAGATGACACTTCAGAATTCAGTTACTAGTAGCTTCTTGCTACTGGTAATGCCAAAAGCTATTCGTAGCGTCCTTGCTCCTAGTATCGATGCCCTTTGCTCCTAGTAGCTTCTTTCTTCTGGCAGCCATGGCCTGCAACCAACCCATTGGCGATGGCCTCCAACATGCAGATTGCATTCTTTTAAAACTTGCCTTGCTGTGCACCAGGTTTAGCACGATACAGAGGATCACTTCAAAGACAGATTGCATTTGCGCCAGGGTTGACGGGTGTTGGATTGGAGGAAGGCATTGCAATCAATCAGTCGCTCTCTGCCTTGGGGCAATGCATCTTGGCAACAGCTGTTAAGTGTCAGCGGACGTGCATCGTTGTAGCTGTAGCCTTTTCCTTTCTCATTATGTAGGTTGGAGGCCATCGCTATTGGGTGGGAGGCCATCACTAGTAGTTACATAGTAGGTTGGTGGTCATTGCTATTAGTAACTCCAAAGAAGATTGGCTTGTGTTTAATATTCAGCTTAATGAGTTTGGAGGCGGTCGTTATTCCGGTGAGACGCTGCGCAACACAAAAGACGAATCTGGCAGTTGAGTCAATGAGCCCAAAACACCGTGTCAGGGCCAATGTCAGTGCTTGTTGTGGCACAACTTGACTCCCAAACCCAGCTTGAATTGAGAACACAGAACAGTTTTCGGTGACAACTGCGTTCCTAGTAGGTTGGAGGCCATCGCTCTTAGGTGGGAGGCTATTGCTAGTCTGTTGAGGCCATGCTTCTGGTAACTCACATTCTTTTTTTTTAAATGAAATTAGTTAAAGGAGTTACTGTTTTTTTTTGATGCTTTTAATGAAACCCCAAAACCCAACTTTCACAGTTTTCGATGACTGCCTTCAAAAAGGCTTTTTGCCGCGACCTGATGGTGCCAAGGTCTTGTCCAGCTTTGCAAGGGTGAGCGGGCCACTTGGGAGAAGTGATATCTTGTTTCTACTAGCAAACATTGTTACTATTAGTAAGGCACCTGTTACTACTAGCTACTAGCTTCTTGTTACTACTAGTAAGGCACTTGTTACTAGAAGCGATGCACTTGTTACTAGTAGCTTTTTAAACATATCCTTTACGCTCTTGCTCCTAGTAGCTTCTTGTTACGAGTAGTAATGCCAGGAGCTACTAGTAGCGTCCTTGCTCCTAGTCTGAAACAGTTTTGCCGAATTGCCAGATTCTCATCATGGGCATCGCTACTAGCTCCTGGCCTTGCTACTAGGAACAAGAAGCTGCTAGTAACAAAGGGCATCGCTACTAGAAGCAAGAAGCTGCAAGAAGCTTCCTTTTTCCTCCCTACCCATTCGCTTTGTGTAGTCCATTCGAGAACCGTTTTCTCCCTTTCTTGGAGTGCCGGCACCGGATGACACCGAGTAGGCCATCAGGTAGGCAGTTGGGTACCGAGAGGTAGGGAGAGGTAGCGGAGGAATGCAATGAGACGCTTTTGGATGCAGCGATGGCCTCCAACCTAATAGCACTCCTAATAGCCTTCTTGCTACCAGTGCGAATGCTCCTAGTAGCGATGCCAGGAGCCCCTAGTAGCGCCCTTGCTCCTAAGTTGCAAATAGTAGCAAGTAGTAACAATACTTAGATATATGTTGTATAGCAATACGTACTCTAACAGGAAACTTACTACTCACGCTAACTAGGAGCAAGGTCGCAATAAAAGCTTTGTTGACAAATCCTCGCTCTGCCTTTCCAATGTTTAGGGAAGTTAAACTTTAGACCTTTCCTTTTGCATCCTAGTAGAAAGAAGCTGCGCTACTAGTATGTCGTTATTTTTTGTTGATCTCACGAGCGTTCTATGACATGGCCGATGAAGGTGACATGTGATGACCCATGGTGCCGCACGATTTTGGGGCATGTTTTTCTCTTGCCAGACCTTGAAATTACAATAATTGGAGCTTCTCGGATTGCCACAAGCAGAAAAAGAGAAAGATCCTATTTCTGGTCCAGAAGCGACATGACGAGATCTCGTCAGGTGAACCATCCGGACAAACTCACCAAGTTGCTCTCCGAGAGCTTGGGCGGAAATGCCGTCACCGTCCACGGCCCCAGAACTGAAAAGGAAAAAAGACTTGCGAAATCAACCTACTAGCAATGGCCTCCCACCTACTAGCGATGGCCTCCAACCCACTAGCAATGGCCTCCCACCTACTAGCGATGGCCTCCAACCCACTAGCGATGGCTTCCAACCCACTAGCAAGGGGGAAGTATAGCTAAGGAAGGGAAGAAGGGAGCAAGGTGCTATTCATTTAGGCCCCTAGTAGCGTGCTTGCTCCTAGTAGGAAGGCCAGGAGCTCCTAGTAGCGTCGTAGCGATGCCCTTTGCTCCTAGTAGCGAACATTGCTCCTAGTTTTCCTTTGAGTTGAGGTGATGATCGCCGCGCTCTCACCCGCCGACATCAATTATAATGACACGGTGTCCACGCTCCTTGGCGCGGATGCGTCCACGACATGGTGACAGTGACTGGTGTGGACACGACTCTTGGCCACCTAAAAGCAATGGCCTCCAACCTAAGAGTGATGGCCTCCAAACTAGCGATGGTGACTGACACTGGTGTGGACTGGACACGACTCTTGTGATTTGTCGACTCAGTTGACATTGTCCTTGCAGGCTACGCTTTGCCGACAATGCCAAGAAGATGCCCGTGAAGGCGCTATTTTGTCGAAGCGTTGATCGGTGCGCGAATGTGTGCAATGGCAATGCCAATCCGGAAAAGAACTAATTAAGCTACTAGTAACAAGAAGCTACTAGTAACAGGTGCATCGCTACTAGGAACAAGAAGCTACTAGGGGCTCCTGGCCTTACTACCAGGAACAAGATTCGC